GGACCTCAAAAATGTCCCCACAAGGTCAAAATTTACTAGTATTACTATCCTTGTGGGGACATTTGGTCCCCATAACGTGATAAATACCAGGTACACACACACTCACACACACACTCACACACACACTCACCGCGTCCTGAAAGCAAAGGAATCGTCCAGAGCTCTGACACACCGCCTGGTTTTTAGGAAATCCAACTATAAAAGCAAACAAATATACACAAATTACTTAAGTTGTTTTCATTTGTTTTCTTGATGCATCTCTTACAAAAACTTCTGATGCAACTTGATCTTACAATATGGCATCAAAATAATTAATAGTTTGTATTGATCAATAATATATATATATTCATAGACAAAATTTGACAAATAAAAACATTTGTTTAAATAGCATTTTCACATATTGAAGTTTATTTAAATCTGTAGTCAGTAACTTTTTTTGGTTAAAAATGATCCAAAATCAATATTTGAGCAAGTACATAACCAGCCAGTGTTCAAAACTATCACCTTACTTTAGCCTATTCACAACGGTTAGCTTATAACAATGTTTTCTAGTTTGAGTGGTACGGGTAGGTTTTTGCTGGAAATTCGAGCATGGCACTGCATCATTACGTCACGTCTGTAAACATAAAGAAGTTGTCCCGGCTACTAGGCTATCGCATGTGAGGATCCTGCAGGTGGAGGATCGTTTATAGCCTTTTCTCACAGCAGCCAGAATAAATAAATGTCAAAAAATCATTTTGATGGCGGATTGTAATCCAGAAAGGATTATATGAAACACATGTGAATGAAATTAAATTATATTCCAGTTTTAAATGTGCTTCTGTTTACAGATAGCCTGGGATTACACAAGATTTATATTTTAAAGAAAACCAGTTCGAAGAGAGCATAGTTTGCTTTTTGGGTTAAAAGAATTTCTTAATATGAAATTCGAAGAGTATGACGATTAGAGATTAGATTAGATTGTGCAGAAATTGAAATCTACACGCTAATACACACTATAGTCAATGCTGATGTTGTTAACATTAATAATCTGAGAATAAAGTATAACAATAATAATAATTTGCACGGTTTGATGTGATATGTGCTAATCGATCGTTAAATTAAATCACCATTGGTAGCACGATTTCAGATGACAGAAAATTCTTATTTGGGTCATATATTCCAAGACGTAGGCTAGAATCTGTGATTACTAAGTTTACTAAGTATCCACACCGGTGCGGTGACTGACTGCCACACATACTCATCAGAACATTAGATTCATTCGCGCTGGAGCCGTGCCGCCGCACAACCCACCCAAGCTAGATAATTCCGCACACAGCTGCAATTCCAGGTTTTCAAACAGAGATGGCAACAAAGAGGCAAAACTTGCGGACTGCAGCTTTAAGTTATCTGTACTTTAATATTTATGTTAATTCAATGGGAATTAACTGTTATAGTATTATTTATATATTATTATGGTTTATTCATATTTTGATTAAGTTTTTACTTTTATATTTTCATTTTAATTTGATTACTTTCTAGTAATTATTTCTATTAAAAATGTGACGTGATTGTCTTTTTTATTTTTTATATTACCATTTAGATTTAATTTATTTTTATTTTTAGTTTAAGTTTTTATTTATTTCCAGTTAGTCGTTTTAGTGCTTTAACTTAAATGTATTTAAATTAGTTGCCAACTCAACATTCTTTTTATTTCAGCTTTATTTCAATTGAAATATGTTTATAATAGTATTAGATTTAGCTATCTATAATAACCTGAGGGAATGAGTTTCCTCAAAAGAGTTGAGTAGACTTAACTTATTAGGATTTATAATGTAAGTTTTTTGGTAAAATATTACTGTAGATAACCTTCAAAGGTTGCATACACTGCATGTATAAATAAAGGAAGGGCTTTGAAAAGAATCAAAAGGAGAACTAAAAATGACTACTGCTTTAAACAAGGAAGTTATGATAGGTTGCTTATAATGATAAGTTGTTTCAGAACTCACTGATGTGGTCGATTGCTCCAGCACAGAACTTTCCATAGAACTTCTTGGCTCCTAAGGCCCTGAGGTCATGAATGGTGTAGGGCCAGAGATGTAGGACGTTGTTCCTGGAGAATGTATCTCTCTTCTCTATCACCACCACTTTGGCTCCGAGGAAAGCTAACTCGATGGCAGTCCGCAAGCCGCAGGGGCCCCCTCCAATTATCAAGCACTGAAAGTTACAATCAGAAATT